GTTTGGATCTGTGTGAGAAACGAGAACTAAGCCCACTATCCAAATTGGTTGCATATCTAGGTGGCTTTGGATCTGAGTGGGAAATAGTGAGATTTCCTGCAAACAAGATACCTTGGAAGACCACAAGGCAGATCTAATACAGTAAGATAATTCATAGATGGCATATCGTAGCCCCATCTCTATTGTGTGGCTTATAGGGTAACAGCTCAGATGGAAAACCATCCCTAAACAAGGATTATTTTTTTTCGTTTAACAACTAAATATAGCAAGTATATCAAAGAGGACATATACTTTGCCCTTGACTATTCTCGGAAAAGGGACGTGGTTCTGATCTGATGGGCTACACTGCAAACCACACAACAACGGACGGCCGGTGGATATGCCAATTGAATGTCAACTACCACACAATGGAAGGACAGGTAAAGGTTGAACGGTATAGCAGAGTAAAGTCGACAAGATCTAAACGAACACAGAGCAGAAAAAGCTGCAGGTTGAGCAAAAGAACAAATCCCGATTTCTAAATCTATCTAACTAGCCAGATGCAACTGTCCTGCGTGCTTTTTTCAAGATCTAAACACATTAATCGACAGCCACGAGAAATCCGGTTTCTTTGAGGAAAGCATGTATCGACAAGATCTGAAGACAGATCTGGAATTTCTCTAACATGACGGAAGTAAATGTTCATGGAGTAAACGTAACCGAAAGTACTGAGATGGCATATATTTGAGATGACGAAAAAAATACAAGATGATGAGAAATTTATACCTCGGGCTCTTCCTCCTCGTCGACTTCGTCGTCATCCTCCTCGTCATCGTCGTCGTCGTCGTCGTCATCATCATCGTCACCGCCCTCCTCTTCATCACCGCCGTCGTCGTCCTCGTCGGAGATGTCGACCACCTGCTGCGCCGCCGACCCCTTATCCTCACCCTCCACCCCCTCGTCCTCGTCCTCTTCCCCATCGTCGTCGACTTCGTCGTCGTCGTCGTCGTCGTCGCCGTCAACCGCCTCCTCCTCCTCATCTCCCTCGTCGTCCTCACCCTCATCGTCCACATCCACCACCTCTTCCGCCGCCTTTTTGGCGGCGGCCGCGGCAGCCTTGATGCGGGCGATCTCCGCCGCACGCTCGTCACCTTCAACCGCCGGCTTCATCTCCTCAACTCCTCTACTACACACGAACTCTCGCGAGAAAATTTCGCCTCTGGTTTAAGTTGGTGTTGTGGTTGTGGAAAATTCAGGGGAAATTTTGGGCGATTTGTAGCCGGCGGGGAAGAACAAGAGGGCCGAGAGGCCTCTAGGTTTGGGCGGATGGGCCAGCACAGATCCTGGTCGTTGGGTACAAGAACAGGCACGCGGATCCATGACGTGGCGGAGGATCGGACGGCTGCGAGGGGTTTGTTCGTGGGTGGTGAGAGCTCGTGAGGTGGGGAAAAACGGCTAGGGCTGACGGCAGCGTGAGGATTTGGACGCGACTAACGCCAGAGCGAGAGTAGTGTGCTTTGGGCCAAAACCCGTCGTTCTTTAGGCCCATCCCACAGATGGTTGCGTTACCCACATGTAACGAAAAGTTAGCCCAATCAGCAAATGAAATTCCATCGCAAGTCCCACCAAACGGGACCTCCTGCGAACAAAATTTTGAAATTCTGAACATTTTCTAAAAGTAAACTTTTTTGAAAAACGTGAAAAAAATTGAAATTCCAAAAAGCAAATAAATTTTGAAATTGTGAGCAGCAATTGAAGATTTTGACCACTTTTTGGAAAAAGTGAACAAAATTTGAAATTCCAAACAGTTTTTTAAACGGAAAGTGTTTTTGAAAACATGAACAAAAAATGAAATTCATGACATTTTTATGAACAAAATTTGAATATTCCATGGGTAAAATTTGAATATTCCATGGGTAAAATTTGAAACAAAAAAATGATAAAATGCAAAAAAAATTCAATTTTTCAAATATTCCAAACATTTTTTGCAAATTGATAATTCATGAAAAAAATTGATAAATAGAAAACCAAAAGAAACTAGAAAAATAGTTGAAAAGAAACCTAACATTAAAAACCCTGTTCAAGAACCTTCTAGAAGAAGGTCCCCAAAACCGATAGAAAAAATGTACACGAAACTTGCCCTTGTGCTAGCTAATGGGTTAACCTAGTGTGTTGCTCGGTCACTCCTCTCCATATGAAGGGTCGACACTTTGTCGCAACCAAATAGGGTTCTCCCACCAAACCTCGTCTCCCTTTTTTGACACCTTAGGGTTTCTTGTTCCTCTTACTCACCGTTGATCGATGTTAAGACCCTTTCTTTCCCCCTTATCTGGATCCTTCTCTGTTTGTTTCGCTCGGGCTGACCAAAGGGCGATCTGGTATCCCCTATCGCCTTAGTGGTCTGGGTTGTGAAGGATTAGCAAGGGGTGTCTCGATCTAGTCTCCTTTTCGCCAGCAGCCCCCATGCATGGATCATCCGAAGTTCTTGAGCCGGCACATGAGCCTGACGTGCAATTTTCTCACATCCATCACATTTGTGAACTATGTCCTCTACATCTGCATAAGTTGTGAGCCAGTAAGAGCCATGTTAAAAGCCATCACGACCAAAGCCCTTGAGCTGGCATGATGACCACAATTGCCAAAATGAATTTCATTGAGAATATCATGGCCATCCGTAGGAGAAACACAACGCTGAAAACACATGTAATACTTCTCCTATGTAACTTGCCATTGACTATAGTCATAGACTTAGACCTCCTGATAATCAGACGGGCGATGATTTCCTCTTCAGGGAGCTCGCCACGAGTAAGATAAGCCAGGTAAGGTATTGTCCAATCTAGTGTCGTAGGGACAGATGCAACAAGAGCTGCCTCCAGGTCAAGAACAGCAATATCTTCCTCCGTCGGTAGTTTGACAGACGGGTTATGCAAAACATCCAGGAAAAAATTGGTGTAATAGGCTTATGTTGAGATCCCAGGCGAGACAGTGCATCTGCTGCCCCATTGAGTTGGCGGTCAATGTGATCAACTTGGTATCCTTTGAAATGACGATGACTGTAACAACGTGTCTGTAAGCCGCCATGAGAGGATCTTTAGAGCCCCAAGTTCCAGAGACATGTTGAGCAACTAAATATGAGTCGCCCAAACACGTGACCTGGCTGAGGTTCATTTCCTTAGCCATATGAAGCCCATGAAGCAAAGCCTCGTACTCAGCTGCGTTGTTAGTACAGGGAAACATGAGTCTCAAAACATAACAAAATTTATCACCTCGTGGCAAAGTTAAGACAACTCCAGCCCCTGAACCTTCCAATTGGTTGGAACCATCAAAGTGTATTATCCAGCATGTATTGTCCGGCTTCTCTTTGGGGACTTGTAACTCAATTCAGTCGTTGATGAAATCCACCAAAGCCTGAGATTTGATAGATGTATGAGGCGCATACTTCAGATGATGGGGACCAAGCTTGATAACCCACTTGGCAATCCAGCCTGTAGCCTCCCTATTCTGGATGATATCTCCCAGAGGTGCTGAACTGACCACAATGATAGGGTGCTCCTGGAAATAGTGCTTCAATTTGTGGCTGGCCATGAAAACACCAAAAAACAGTTTCTGTCAGTCTGGATATTGTTGTTTTGACTCGGTCAGAATTTCACTCACATAATAAACTAGCCTTTGAACTGGATATTCATTTCCCTCTTCATTGTGTTCCATGACTACTGGCACACTTACCGCTTTATTATTGGCAGCAATGTACAGGAGCATCGTATCTTTGTCATGTGGAGCAACAAGCATAGGTGGTTCTGATAATTTCTTCTTAAGGAGCTTGAAAGCTTTATCTGCTACATCTCCCCAAACGAAATTGTTTGTTTTCTTGAGCAGCTAGTACAAAGGAATCGCCCTCACCCCAAGTAAGCTCATAAACCAACTCAAAGCCGCCACAGAACCCGTCAACTTTTGGACGGCATTGATGTTCACCGGCTTGGCGAGCGTTGTGATGGATTTGATTTTGTCTGGGTTGGCTTCGACACCTCGCTCTAACAACAGAAAGCCCAGCAGTTTACCTGCAGGAACACCGAACACACATTTTGCTGGGTTAAGCTTCATTTGGTAAACTCAGAGATTGTTTAACGTCTCCTTTAGATCGCCAAGCACGGTTTCTTTCTTCTGAGACTTGACCATGATATCATCAACATAAGCATGAACATTGCGTCTAATCTGATTGTGGAAATAATTCTGCACACAGTGCTGATAAGTGGCTCCAGCACTCTCCAGTCCAAACGACATGGACGTATAACAGAAAGCTCCAAAGGGTGAGATAAAGGTTGTCTTCTCATGGTCTTTATCTACCATATTAATCTGATGATATCAGAGTAAGCGTCCAGGAAACAGGAACACTCATAGCCAGCGGTAGAGTCAATAATCTGATCAATGCAAGGAAGAGAAAATGGATCCTTGGGACAAGCCTTGTTCAAATTTGTGTAATCAACACATATTCGCCAAGTACCATTTTTCTTCAGAACAAGCACTGGGTTAGCCAATCACTCTGTGTGAAAAACCTCAACGATGAACCCGGCAGCTAGGAGCCAAGCCACCTCTTCACCAATAGTCTTGCGTCTCTCCTCGTTAAAACGATAGAGGTGTTGTCGGACAGGCTTCATCTTTGGATCAACATTTAGGCAGTGCTCAGCGATTTCTCTCTGTACACCAGGCATTTCGAAAGGTTTCCATGCAAAAATGCCTCGATTCTCATGGATGAACTTGATGAATCACCAAGAGTGAAGTCGACCTGCTTTGTATCCTCAGCTGACTTGAACTTGAGCAGGGGGTCAGACTTGGTAGTAATATTTTCCAGGGAAGTCACGTCAACCGGGTCAACGTTGTCCTTGTAAAACTTCAACTCTTTAGCTGCATAGTCTGACTTAGCATAAGCAGCGTCGCCTTCACACTCAAGCACAATTTTCCTATCACCATTAACAGTGATAGTACCCTTAGGCCCTAGCATCTTCAGTTTCAGATACACATAGCAAGGACGTGCCATGAAGCGTGCGTAAGCCGGCCATCCGAACAGGGCGTAGTAAGGACTTTTAATCTTGACGACCTCAAACTTCAGATATTCAGTCCTGTAGTTGAACTCGGTTCCAAAAGCGACCTCCAAAGAAATTTTCCCAATAGGATATGTCGACTTGCCGGGAACTATCCTGTGAAACACCGTAAACGACGGTTTGAGCTATTTTTTCTGACAAATTCATCCGCTCAAGGGTATCATAATAGATGATGTTTATGCTACTGATACGTCTCCAACGTATCTATACTTTTTTTATTGTTCCATGCTATTATAATATCAATCTTGGATGTTTTATATGCAATATTATATCATTTTTGGGATTAACCTATTAACTTAATGCCAAGTGCCAGTTATTGTTTTTTGCCTGTTTTTGGTTTTCCAGGAATTCTGTACCAAACGAAGTCCAAATGCCACGAAACTTTTTGACAATTTTTTTTGGACATAAGAGACCCTAGAAGCTTTGGGAGGAGGCTAGAAGGCGAAGGAGTACGCCACAAGCCACATGGGCGCGCCAGGGGGTATGCGTGGTATGTCGCTAGCCCTTTTTAAGACCGCAAAACATAAATGGAGAGCACCTCCAAAGTTCAAGCAGTGACTAAACATTGTAATTCATGGTAGAAGAGATCCAGTCATGATGCATTCAACATTAACTATACACAATGCATGAGGATGACAATAGTGCTCTCAGGACTGGTGCTTGTTTGAGAAGGTGATGACTCAACATAAAAGTAAAATAACATAAAAGTAAATGGATAGTCCCTTCACAGAGGGAAGTAGGGATTTGCAGAGGTGCCAGAGCTCGAGGTTTAAATTAGAGATAAATATAATTTTGGGAGGCATACCCTTCCTGTCAATGTCACGACCAAGAGTTTTCAATATCTTCCATGCTAAACACATTACCGGCGGTTCCTAAGCGACATAAGTAAAATTTACTCCCCCTCCACCAACAAACACAAGCCATGGCTAGCCGAATCCTTGGGTGCCCTCCATACCAACAATGGTTTGGGGGAGTTTTGTTTAATTATTTGTAATTTTTTATTTCGGGACTGGGCATCCCTATTACCAATCCCTCTCATGCAAGGACGGGTGAATAAACACTCATCATGAG